CTCTTTTTTCTTTTTTTTTTTCAACACTTTTCATCACCCGTCACGGTCGATTCTTCCTCCAATTCATGCTGCGAAAAGGCATGCGACTGGCCAATCTAACGCAACACTTAATTCAATCGAATCGAATTTTTGAACGTTATATATAATAGAATTATTTATAATTTTAAAATCTTTAAATCTTTCCAAATTTTTCAATCTTTAAATTCTTCTCAAAATTTATATAAAACTTTTTTTCAAGCTTAAGCGTCCCTATCGTTCATTATTTGAATATATCTCTTTTCCTTAACGATAATAATAATTGATTGAAGAAGAATTGCCAGTGAAGAAAACAACACTTTTTCGAGCGCAACAATAGGGGAGGGGGGATTGGATTGAAACACTGTTCGAGTCAGCGTTCGATACGAGAAATGCGCAAATGTGTAACGACGAGAGTTTTAGAGTTAGTTTTAGAAAGCAGCAAAAAAGATCTCGAAGATCGTGTTACAGAGAGGAAAGTAAATGTGCTTGTCCAACATGGATGATCGATTACGTTTATCATGCATGATAATAAAATCGAACGGATTTATTATAAAATTGAAAGGATACCAACATTCCTCACCGCTATCTAAATTCGTTTAAAATTCGATTGGATATATCGAAGAAAAAAGCTAGCGACGAAAACACCTCGTTGATAAAAACTTCCTCTTCCTTCTCTTCCTCCCCAATTTCCCCTTTATCATTTCCTTTTTCCCCTCCAGATCTCTCAAATTCTTCTTCGAACTCCTCCTTTCCCTTCGTTTGAAAAAAAACCTCGAACGATGCCTTCAAATATTCGAACGATTGCACGCGTTTCGAACAAAAAAGCAGATCTTGCTGAAAGTAGCTCGTTCGAGGATGGGGAATGTCACGCGTGGAAATGGTCGATTATGCGAATTCTAATTAAACATTTAATTACCATCATGACCGGTTCGTGATCCGAGGAAACTGTTACGTTCGAGACGATTTTGACTCGATTTTGATCGATATTTCGCAACGAAGGCGAGAAAACGACGAGAAGTTTCGGATTGTGTCGACTTTGAATCGCGATGATTCGTCAACGAGAGAACGTGGACGATCGAAGATTGCAGCTTGGATTCGAATTTGTGGCTCCATTAATTACGAAAGAGAATTTTCTTCTCAGATACTCTAGAAGTGCTAATTAATTGATTTTGACCGTTCAATTGTAGATAGAAAAGAGATCTCAAGAGATTACAGATGAAACTTCGATGAAATTTCAAAAGGTTCTACTTTCTGAAGAGTTGGAAACTTTCTGATTGCGCGTTAAAGAAAGAAGATACAGGGAAGAAAGCTTCAAGGGTTAATTAATCATAAATTTTTAATCGGCGAAGGATAAGTATGAAGAAGTTTGATAAACTGTGGAAATACATGACAGCAAGTATAATTAACGTTGCATAAAATGCGAGGAAAAAGATAAAAAATCACGATCCTATTAAATTGTAATTTATATATAATCTGTAAGAGAGCGTTATATTAACGGAGAAATGATTGTTTAATTATTACTGTTCTCTAAAAACTCAAATGGTTTAATTATTATTTTTATTCTGTTTGGAAAGAAGGACTTTCAGCAAAATCTGATGCGAGACACGTCCCTCCGCGTTATGAAATCGTGCTTCCTTTTATTTCGTTATATACTTTTCTCCAATTCAATTCGTTTTCTTCTCTCGTTTTCGGAGATTTAATTTTCTGTTTTTTTTTTTTTTTTCCTTTTTCTTTCAATAAGAAACAACTTTTTAAATAACGCGCGCGAATGAGCGTGTGCCTTCCTCAAGACTCCATCAATACCCTTCAACTTTTCTCGATCAATCGATATAAGATTATCTAAATTGGCAATACTCGTACTTTATCTTTACTTTTTATCCATCTTTCCTTCTTTTAATCGTTCTCACGATCACGATTGTAAACACTGTATTTATAAAGGTACGTAATATAGATCGTTATTACTTATTTCTTCTTTCTCCCTCTTTCTATTTTTCATTGTTAAATAGATGTTGCCACTTTTCCATTTTCCATCTGGTTTCACGGAAAGCTCACTCTTGTCCATGATTTCTGTCCTCTTGGGATCCATTCGTACGTCAATCAAGAATACCTTTTATCGTAGGAAAAAAATCGGGTCGTATAAACTATCCTCCTCCTTTTACTCCTCCAACTACGTTCCTCTCTTCTTCTTCTTCTTCTTCTTCATTTCTACTACTTTCCATTTTTTTCAATCTTCGCCCATCTTATATCCCCTCTCTTCCTTTCTTCCACAACAAACTTTCCACATTCTCCCATTCTTTCGTCTTAATATACTGCTTTCGCTCGGCAATAATTAATAATAATTATAGTAATAGTAGTAATCGTAACGTGTAATGATAATCGTGTAATAACAATGATAATAAATCAATAATCGTATTTTTTGTTCTTTTTTTTATACAACAATCACACGTATAGAAGCGACGAATTAGAGTAGTAGAAATAACACTATTCCTTAAGTTTTAATTTTATGTTTATATTTATATTTATAATATAGTATTTGCAATATATTAAATCGTTTGTCTCTCTCTCTCTC